TCTACATAACATTAATTGTCTTTATGGCAATAGCACGTATTTGAGAACAATAAATAAGCAGAATCTGAAAATGACTGTTGAGAAAATTTATGACTCTGGGTTCGAATTACCAAAGGAACAAAAAGATGGACACTCCTAAGGTAATTTTTTTTTAGAAAACAGAAGTAGGAGCATATATGCATGTACCCTAAGAAGTTGAAAACCTTAGACCCTATAATGGGATGGGGGCATTAATTAAAAAAAAATAGTTACAATCTGTTGTTAATCTGTTGCGATATAATATGTAGCTAACAGAATTTTATAATAATTGGTCGCTAATCTGTCGGTAACTTATTTAAATTACGATTTTCTATTGTTTATATGCCGCGAAAGTGTTAGTTTTTAAAAGATAGGAGCAATAAAAAGTATTTGTAAGTGTTGATTGAAAATGTCTCGTATATGAAGACTTTAAATAACTAATTTAAAACCAAAAAATCTATATAATTTAAAATTTCAAAAAAAAAACTAAAATATCCAACAAACTAAACAAAATCTAATAAGAATTTAAAATTTAAATAAACAAACTAATAAGTATGGTATATTACAACAAACTAAACAAAATCTGATAGTAATTTAATATTCAAACTCATTCTAAAACTAGCAACTTAATCATAATGCTAATTTTTTTTAGTGCAGTAACTAGTAACTGAAGCCAAATTCAACACCCCTTCTCTTCTGAAATATGAAAAACTCCTCCTTCTTCTTTTACTTGATTCTCATTAGTTCAACCTAAAAATTTTAGTATACAAAATGTTGAGTCCCACATCAAGCTGATTCTAATTCTATGACTTGCAAATGTCATGATGATCGAGCCTGGTACTCCCAAGCAGAGGCGAATCCAGGATTTCAAGAAAACGGGTGCACCATTGCTTTAGAATTTAATTTTTTTTTTGAAAAAACGAGTGTTATTAGTTACTAAAAAAAATTGAAGTGAATTGTGGCTGGCTGGGATTGAACTCAGGACCTTGGTGTTAAAATTTGGCTGTCAAACCAGTGAACCATCCAGCAACTTTAAGAACGGGTTCAACAAGTGTTTATTTAATATGTTCTTTAATAATTATACAAGTAATATATCGAGTTTAGTCGGAGGACCACGGGTTCGGGTGACCCAATTTTTACACATAAATTCGCCACTGCTCCCAAGCACTGGCGGAGCCAGGAATTTAGCTAAGGTGTGCAATTTTATTTTTCATTTATGTTAAGAGTGTACAAAATTAAATATACATTCATAATAGTTAATATTTAACCTATATACATCATATAATCTTCCATCAAATAGTGTATATCAGACCATCTTTTGCCTTAGATGGCTCCGCCCATACTCTCACCTAGGTAGAATATAATAGACGAAAATGACGTGTGTAACTTGCTTTTAAATCAATTGATACATCACGCGAATAAACTTATTTTTGGAGTGCTTGTGTCACAAAAACGGATGAAATGAAGCATCATCGAAGCTTCTTGGATTTGATAAGTTAGATGATTAATTTTTGGCTTCCTTGCTGGGGTAAACTTGGAAAAATATGAATGCATGCGCTCACTATTTACAAATCATATAATAAATATGTATTATGCTTATATAAACGGTTATCAATTAAATATAGTTCATTAATATACATTTTCAGGGTGCAAGTAATATTGTATTTTATTTTTGGAAGACTTTTTTCATTCGAAAAATCACTAAGGCAGTTTCTTAAACACCTTATTTCCTAATAGCTACTAATTATGAGAATAGTACTAGTATATCTAGTTCTCTCTAACTCTTATTTTCTTCATGCTTGTTAATTAGTAGAGGTTCGTTGCTTCATTAGGATTGACAGGGTAAGATCTGTCCCCTTGCTTGTACTTATTTCTATTGAGGATTTTCATTTTAATAGCTAATTCAGAATCCATATGTTTCAGATTCTGACTCTATAATTCTTTCAAATAGTTTTGTCGCATTATTATTTTTCTCTTTTTATGTATGTACCTATTTTCCGAACTCAACTCTTTTCCTTTTAGCTAGCATAAGTTTTTGTCCTAATTGGAAAACGTTTTATGGACCTGCAAAGAGAATGGAGGAACAACACTTTCTAACTTCCCAAAAAAGAAAAAAGAAAACCATTGACAATTGAATTACTAGTAATTAAGACATGTATTTGAACACAGAAACAAATAACAAAACATTTTATCTTGAGATTATAAGGTTAACAATATGATTTATTTTTAAAAAAAACAATAGTGCCTATTAACACAATCAAGACCAAAATATATCTTTCTTTTTCAGCTATTAAGACAAGGTTGGTTTCAGTGGCAATTGCACCTGTAACCAGGGAAATGGTAAAAACGTAACGTGTTTATACCAACTTTGTTAGTTTAAATGAAAGACAAAAAAATCAAATCACTTATTATCTCTTATTAAGTGATAAATGTGTATATATAAGACACATGTCTTGCATTTATTGATTTGATGTAAACACTTGATGCTGATATTTACCTAGAAAAAGTGAGTGCACATATTATTCGACTCAAATTATATATATATATATACATAGCAATAGAGTTTTCAAGAACATCTATCTAGCTGGATGATTGAGCCTATAGAATCCATCTTTTTGATGTTCTTATCCACAGTGAATCAAATATTGCCATCTTTTTTGCCACTACACTCTTTCAAAGAATTTTGAGCATTTTTTGCTTAATAGGCAGCAATTTTCCTAGTATTTTTTTTTAAAAAATAAAAAATTTCCATGAAGATAATATCTTACAGTACATTATCAGATGCTACATGAAAGTGGAAAAGAGTAAAAGAAAAATGGCAGGGATACTAAAATGACTCAAAACTTTGGTTATATAACTTTAATTTGTATAGTATAACTTTATAGTATTGGTTGTGGTACCAATTTATATTCATGCTACTCTTCAATATGCCAAGAGTGATTTCTTCTCGAATCTTATCGTCTTTAAAATCTGGCCGTAGTGATGAAAGATAAGATGGTACCACCATTCATCCCATACTCCGTCGTGGCACTTTTCGAATTTCGAGATTCAAACAAATCTATTTTTGATTGTGAATTTTTTATATATCTTTTAAATATTTTGAATTGCCAATTATTTTGACTTTTTAATAGTACTTTTTACGTAGTTTATAAATATATAAATTTCATTTCAAAAAAATTGAAGATTCCATGCGCAAATTTCCGATCAAACTTATACTGTTTGACTCTCGAAAAACGAAAAGTGCCAAATAAATTGGGACAATTAGTAAAGACCTTTGCTGGTGGTAACAGATAGTAATGTCCAAACTAATTAGATTCAAGCTAGTTAAACAAAGTTGGCCTCATTTCACATTTATACCCTCCAACTTTGGGTGTGCACAAATAGACACTTAAACTTGTATAAAGTTGAACAAGTAGACACATGAGTCCTATGTGGCATAATACACATAGGACACCACGTAGGACGCAAATTGCCATGTAGGATGCCACATAGGACGTGTGTGTCTATTTGTTCAATTTTATACAAGTTTAAGTGTCTACTTGTGCACACTTAAAGTTAGAGGACATAAATATAAAATGAGGCAAAGTTAAAGGGCATATTTATGTATTATGCCTTCTTCTTTTTATCAGTTTTCTCTTGTAATTTCAAGCAATATATGTATCCTGATAAACTAAATGGTTTTCTGAGACTATAATACTGTCTATCCTTATAACCAAATGCATGTTGCTGTGCACATTTAAGCATCATAATTTAAATGCATGTTTTTGTGCAAATTTAACCCTTAGTTATCTCTATTTTTCATTTTGCGCTATGTTTTTTTTCTTTAACTGTTTCGACTTTTTATTGAAACAATCAGAATTGACATATCAATAAGAGCTGTAGTTGAATAAAATATGATTTATATCAAATTTTAAATCGTAATAGTACATGATAAGTGCAATAAAAAGATAGTCTTTGCAAGCCATGGAATTCCAAGTTTTTGAAAGAGTAATTAGAGATGGAGAAAAAGTATTGAAAGGTGTAGTGGACTGGACTATATTTGCATGAGCAGAAAAAACGTTTACAATTTATGAGAAGCACACGTTAATCAATGAATAAATATGATGACCATATTCATGAATGATCACCTAACGTTTCACACCAGTTTTCATTTTGACGCTTCAACTAAGACTTGTACCAATTGTATTCACATGCAAAATGCGTCTATTGATATTTTCAAGTGCTACTTGTGGAGAAGTTTTATTTTGAGTGAGACAGGTACACCATAATTGTCTGCTTCTTCCTCATTTCGTATAACTCTTCTTCTCGATTCCTTTTTAATATGATTGTAGTCAGGGGCGAATCCAGGTTGTCAGGTAAGGGTTCACGGGAACAAGTAGCTTTTGCTCAAATTCTATAAATGTATTCACTAAATATTTGACTATGAACCTATTTATTATTGTTTATTAACTTGAAATGGTTGTACGGACCCATAAACTTTAAATTTATATCCTCTCTGATTTTTTGTTGAAGCTGATTGATCTGGATACCTTATTGTGCATTGATACAAATTTCATCAGCTTCATCTTTACAGCTTTATTGCTGCTTTGAGTTTCTCCCTTGGTGACTCGAACCCAAAATCTTAGGGTTGGAACTGAGGAGTGATCACCATCCGAGCAACTCTCTCTTGTCGAAATGGTGGCAGATCAAGATCTGATTTTTCTTTGGAATTGACAAATTGACTTAGAATTTATTGAATTCTAACAACTCTTATGTATGCATACAGGACTCAGGAGTGGATGAGGTTGGAAATTTTGGGCCTACTTGTTCTTCTTTAATTTGAATATGATTTCAGAAATGAAATTCAACTGATATTTACTTGCATCTTCTTTTTCCCATCCATGTTTTTGTAGAAAATAGTGGAATCGGCAGGGACCCTGTAGTTAATTATGTTGTAGTGTAATTAGTTGGTCACATAACTGCAATTAGTTAGAACTTAGAAGTCAGTCTATAAATATATAGCAGTTTCATTAGTGTAATAGGTAATACATATGAAACAAGTTGGAATTTTGTATGAAGCACACAAACCATTAATAAATCAATCTCATCAATTCTAGACTAACTGGAGTTGGAATAAACAACAAAGTAATTCTCGACACTCAGGAAAGAAGGGTATTATGTCTTAAGGATGTTAACGAGGGGATAACTCAGTTATCGATGCCTCATTATGTGATGAACTAATAGATTTACTTTTGGCTAATTCTCTAGGTCCTGATGATCTTGAATTGTATTCTTGAATAAGTGAAATCTCTGAACTAATATCGTTGTGTGTATAGTATGCAGGCCCTGAAGGCAGGGGAAGATTCAGAGATAGGCTACTGAGCATGAGAACTACTGCAGCCATGGTTGGTCTATCAGAAATATTTTCTTGAACGCACAGTAATGCTATGTGAATGCATCTCATTATGTCACGAGCCATTCCTGAGCTTCCCCTCAACATGGGGTCTATCAAATTTGTAGTTGTTTCTTCGCGCCAGTTCATCCAAGCCTGTCACATTTTAATTCAGAGTTTGAACTCTTACATTGACAATGTAAAAGACATTGATGCAAAGGATGGTCTCCCACCTAGTTCGGCATTCAGGGGTAGTTGATTAATTAACTTGGTTACTTACATAGCTTAGAAGGTCTTCCAGCGATTCTCCATTTCTGAAACAAGTGTTTTTTTGGCCACTTACAATTTCAAGGACTAGTACTCCAAAGCTAAAAACATCTGATTTCACTGAGAATTGCCCGTGCATTGCATACTCTGGTGCCATATATCCACTGCAAAGAAAAAACATAAAATTACTAGACTTTTCTAGTAATCGGTACCTTAATTGTAGGGACGACTAAATTTCTAGTTTTACAAAATTAAGGTGCAAAAACAAAAATGAGATAACGTTCCTGAAGCAACTACATAACAAATTAAAATTCATCTTACACATTCTAGTAATTTCAAGGAATCATTCGTTTTTCGAGTAGTATTAAGATTTTTGTTCTTGCTTGCTAAATGGTTAAAGAATCCTTAATTCCAAGCGATATGAAATTAAACAGTCTTATCTAATGAGAGTTGTACAACTTACTAGGTCCCAACAATTCTGGTTGTGCTGCCTTGAGTTTCATCCAGGGCAAATAACCTTGCCATGCCAAAGTCTGAGATTTTAGGATTCATTTCTGCATCAAGTAGAACATTACTAGCTTTGAGATCACGATGAATGATCCGAAGCCTAGAATCCTCATGAAGATAAAGGATCCCCTTAGCAACGCCTCCTATGATTTTGGATCTCCTTTCCCAATCCAATTGCCTACGTTTAACTGGATCTGTGTTCCCATTGGACAAATGTTAAACGAAGAGCATAAATTATTAATGCTCAAGCTCCATATCTTATAAAAGATTTAGCGCATATATATGAAAAGTGTAGAAGAACTACACTATCAAGTTAACTAAATGTTAAACAATACATACCAAATAAAAATTGGTCAAGGCTTGCATTGGGAACAAATTCATAAACAAGAAGTCTCTCTGTTCCATCGAAACAAAATCCTTGCAATCTAACCAAATTCCTATGTTGAAGCCTTGCAACCAACAAGACCTCGTTTTTGAATTCTAGATCTCCTTGGCCTGAATCTTTTGACAATCTTTTCACTGCTACTTCTTGTCCATTTGAAAGCACACCCTGAAGCATATCATAACAAGTGGAAATTATGAATTTGAAGTGAAACTAACTCTTGTACATTTTTATTTATTTTGGGATACTATCGCAGTAATTATTATGCAACAATTAGGACTAATCACCTTGTACACAGGACCAAATCCACCTTCTCCCAACTTATTAGCACTTGAGAAGTTATCTGTTGCTGCTCTAATTGTAGACAGATCATATTGCAAGGATTCTGCAGTATCAATATCGTCCACATGTGTACCTTTATTAACATAGCAATTTAAAACAAATCAGCAAAGCATAGATTTAGAAATCAACTTTCCTTAATCATTGTCTACTAACAAGCCACTCTTACTCTGAATTTTGTCCATAAGCTTCCTCTTTCTCATCTTCATCAAGATGACAAAAGTACAAAGCATAAGAATTATCGTTGCAACAGTTGACACAACAATGACAATGACTATTCTAGCATATTTATCATCCTTTCCTGCAAAGTTGCTCCGACCTAGTGTTTTATTTAGAAAATATATTTTGGACTGGTTTAGAGTCGCCACTTTAATTTTTAAAGGAAAATTAAGAAAACTTATTTTTCAAAAGATTAAAACAGGAAATCGATTGAAAATATTTAAAGAGGGGTTCGAGGTTCCTATTAATATTCTAGGAAGGTTTTTAAGGCACCTAGAATATCCACTAATGTGGTTATCCGACGATTACTTATTTGGCTAAATTAACTGTAACTTAGTTTGAATTGCAAAAATGAACTATTTTGTAGTTAGAACTATTTTAAAAAAACAAGAAAATTATTGAAATATTATCTAAGCGAAATATTTTGTAAAACGTATTTATTTGTTAAGTCAAGTAAAGAATGAATAGTTTAGTTTAAGCGATTAATTCAGAATGGGTATCCTTTGGGGCATTGATTAGGGAACCTTAAAATTAAATAAGCACATAAAAACATGTTATAGCAAATAAATAGATAAGGAAAGAAGATTTGGGCCCAAGTCTGGCTTTTCTGTCTGCCTGGGCCAGTATTTGGGCCCATTTTCATATTGGGCCAAAGGCCCATTTGAGTCACTTGCACCTGTCCTAGTCTAACATGAAATAAATATCTCTCTTTTGGACCTTAAACCCAATTTTCCCACCTGTCCTAGGAACTAACAAATAATGGTAAGTAAAATGACAAGGGCTTAGGCCCAATAATAACAAAATACAATTCCGGAAAAATAAAGGTAGGCTTTGGCCCAATCTTTTCAACTCCCGATTTGCTTCGCTTTTCTTTTAATTTCGAGACTTGTTCGTCGATTTTAATGTCTGGCTGACTCGATAAAGGGAAGCATTGGGTCCCCTTGTCCCATTTCGAGATGCAAGGGGAGAAATGGGGGATTCCAAATGACTCGACCCAAGAGAGTTCATGCATAAACAAAATGAAGGAGAAGAATTATACTCAAATTAACATTTATGTATATATACTAAACAACGAAAAAATAGATAATTATTCAAAATAATGAAAACAGAGAAAACGTCATGTACTTAAGAGGGAAAAACATCAATGATTCTTATATAACAAATGTGAAACACCACTGCAATGATAAAATGAAAAAAGGTACTAACTATTATTAACACATTCAACATGATAAATAAATAAATATGCTAAGCAACTATTTTAAATACTTATTAAACTAAAAGAGAAGTGAAGCTAAATTTCCAAACTCATAGTCAGTGGGTGAAACAAATCACAATAGCAACTTAAATAAAATCCTGTAAGTAAAGCACGAATATTTATCAAAAAAAAACTTTGACGACAACTACTTAGACATGGGTTATATGCACCAGATCTATTCAAGAAGGTAACAACAATATTGTAAATAAACAAGAAGCTTAAGCCAAAATGATTGGGCACTAGGAGAGTCTCAAAATAATCAAAGGATAATCCTATCTTTAACTGGGAATATGTATTTCAAGCAAATTGATTACGGGGAATGAAAACTTGTAGATTTATTTCTTCTTTCTCAAATAAAATAAAGAGAGGACAGATAGATAATTTAATCAACTAAGACAAGCCAATATATATAAAGTTGCATAAAATTGCATATCTTGAAACTGATGAGAATAAGCATATCATTTATAAAAGTAGAGCTGGACATTTTAACATCAAGGATATGGTCATATTAACTATTGGGTGGTGAGGAGCTATAAACAAGTATCATAGGTTAAAACCAAAGGGACACAAACATCAATACGGCTAGGTGAGAACAAAGACTAGATTTTACGAGATTAATCTAACATGGATGAGAGGCTACTACGGTAGTCAAAGCGGCAAAGAACAACCAACACACAAATAGTCAGTGAAGCAACAGAACACATAATTGGCACACTCAAAAAATGCACTTGAGTGAACAATAGACCATCTCGAGCAAACTAAGTAGATTTAGCTAACTTTCAGAACAAAATCAAACTATATGGAAACTAAAAAAAAAAAAAAAAAAAATTTAGAATAGTGCTTCACCACATCACGTACAACAGCTCATAACATTAACATTAATTAAAGGAAATCCCACTTTTGGTATCTTAAGACATTGAAAACAAAGAAATATGGATTCGGACGTCCAAAGCCAACATACGCGACAGAGACAACGAAATAAACTCGGAACAAATGAATCCATTTATATTGAAATTGCTTAAAGAAGTCATATTATAGCAAATCATCCCGAACTCAACGACAAGTGCTAGCAAACCAAACAAAGCACATCTATAGATGTCACGCTGGAAACAAAAAAAAGGTAAGGAAAACATTACAAAGGAGAGAGCATTACCTTCTTTGGAGCAGCGAAACTGAGACCAGAGCGAGTAAGGAAGTGACTTCACCACCACTAGAATGTGAATCCAAGAACTCCAACGAACAAAAGAGGAAGCAAGCAAGAACAGGAAGTCTTTCTGTGATTTTTAGGAACTATATGATTTGAGTGTATTTCTTCCTTTCTAATACTAGCTAATTCTCTATATTTTTCTAACTCAAAATTTTTTCCGCCCCCTTTCACAATGAAGGAGATGAAGTATATATAGGGGAAATATTAGGGTTCCAAACTTAGGGGGAAAACGGATCAAATTCACAAGAATAAGGCCTATTTTTTTTTTGAAATTCAAACTCCTAATTCCTTTTACCATTCGAGCTAGACACCTTTTCCTTGAAATTTTTCCCCATTCCGGAAGAGGAAAGGGAGAAAAAACGTGCCTGCTGCCTGCTAGAAACACAGAGAATCGTACAGAAATAGTACTAGGCTGAAGAAGACGCTTGAACAGCTACTGCTTTCCGTCTATATCCGTGTAGGCGTCGTTTGCTGCTGTAACGTTGGACTGGAAATATTGGAAATTTCTGGGTTCTTTTAGAATTGGAAACGGGCTGGGTATGGGCTGAAAAGTGGGCTGATGATATATATTTTTTGATGTGTGGCGGGTGGGTTATTTTGGAATGGGTTTTCCTCTGTTTTGTGGGCTGCTGTACGTATGGTGTTGCTGAAAAAATGCATCGCTAATGGGCCTTACTGATTTGGGCTGGTTTGGAAGAGCTGGGAAGCTGAAAATTGTAAGATAAAAGCCCAAAAATTGGTCTTATTAGAAAGGCAAAAGTAATGGCTAGTAAGTTACAATTTTAACCGAATTGAGTGGTCAATTGCATTACGAATTTAGCCGATGGATTAGGAGCGTAGCCAAATTGAATTCATTTAATAGATTCGGCTAGTGATTAAATAAGACGAATTAATATAAATTAATTAATGAGCTTCTTAATTTCAACGAAATAAAATAATTGACTTAATTACAAACTAATTAACTCAAAAGTGTAAACTATTATATAACTAAACTAATTAGTAAAGTATTTAAGCGAAATAAAATCTTTTTGAGGCAATTTTCGAATATTCATAAAAATACTAATTATATGCAAAATTATATAAAAGACATATTATTATTTAAAATTATGAAAAGTGACAAATTATTTAAAATAACTTGCAAACTATAT